GATCTACATCATGCACAGCCTTGTCACTGCTTTTCTCACTTTTTATTAATTTACTGTACTGCACACATTTTGGCACAGCTCTTCCACAGAGAGTTACTAGTATTTTCTTCTGCATACCTACTGTATACAGTGACGTGACTAGTAACATCTATGGCTGTGAAATCACAAATTTCTGGGTTGACAGCCTCGAACCTATACGATTTGTTTCTAAGAACGTGCTATAACTATTATTCTATTAAAGTATTCTACTGTGCAATTACGTAAAGTTTGGAACATCACTCTTCTGTGATCTGTATGTCAAATTATGAAATTCAGTGTGTGAGGTAAGCCCATGCATGGCATTCACTGCTATAGTATGACTCGGGGTAAAGTGTTCCAACGCATACTCATTATAGTGAATAGGTGTGTGTCAGTTAATCGGTGCCCAACGTTGTTGCTGCTGGATAACATATTCCGAGATAACCGAGGCTACACAGCCATCTAATGTTCAAACATGCATCGAAGGGGCCGTAACGAGATCTGCAAGACATGATTCTATACCTGTACTGTTAGACATGTATATAATTATAACGAGGAAGTAAATCTAATGGATGACATTTCTTCGTTATAATAAGATCCGTTGAGGCCATACTGCTTTTAAACATATCTTCTCGTTAACCTATGAATTTTGGACAATCGTTAAATTTGCGACTCGTTATAATAACATGTCTTGCAGTATTCGATGCTCTCTAGCAGGACATTCATCTGCCTCATTTTCTCTGTGCTGCATTGATGAGCGAAACAGCATGTTGTCCTCGGATTGAGTATTGTGTATGACAGACGTGTATGTAGTGGTAAAGTTCAAATACATGTGCAACATAACAATCAATAACAATCCCCGTGTTTTACAACAGCACAAACCCAGCACCGCAATTCTTAATTTTGGGCTGTGGTGTTCTTAGTATTTCAGGCTGGATGTTCTAGGCTTCCACGCTCTTGGGCGCACGACTTTACTGTGCCGATGAATATTTTCAGCCAATGAACCCAGTGCTTGGTGGCAGATTAGTGTCATGGAACAGCATTTTGCATGTGGCTTTCACTACATGCACATGTACAACGTTCAATTGATTCGGAAAAATCAGGCGAGGACTTTTGCAGTTATGAGCAAGGTCCCCACGAATGGTCATGTCACTTCACAGAATACATGAACTGATAGAGTAGACCGAGGTCCCCTCAGAGAACGCTTGGGGAAGTCGGTTTCAACTGAGGACATGTCCAAAACCATGCTAAGTACTTGAGCTGCTCATGACCCCCACAATGATCAGGCCCGCCGGAACCGGTCTGGTTGGTCAGGTTATCACCGGACCAACTTGTTGGCCACCAACAAATGTTTCCTGCTGTGGAGGACGTGTGTACCCGCCATATCACACACAAAGTATAAAAGGCCATGAAACTACCGGACCAATCAAAAACTGCTTCCGGCGGTACTGATTATAGTACAGGTTTAAAAAGCGGCTCCATTTTTGTCATACATCAAACCAACTCTGTCATTGCTATGCTACTCAAAAAGAGTAGTGATGTTTATTCACAAATGAATCACAATGCTATCAGAGAACTTCGATATTCTCCAATTTTAGGGGCACTGCAGTACTATGCAAAAATTAATGCTGCTTGGTCATTGTTATGAAGCAGTCACCTCAGTACAGCAATTAAACAGGCTGATTATGTGAACGAGATTCACGGCAAATCTTCTTCCATCAGTGCTGTTTAGTCTTGAGTGGTCCACTGAGGCAGGAAAACAACCTGTTCGGTCCTTCCATACGAGAAACAGAAATTGAACATGTTCCAGGGTGGAGGTGGCGAGTATCGGCATTGTAATGCACCTTTAGGCCAACACGACCATCATTCCGATATGGATTCTCAAACGCCTTCGCTCGTGAGTGTGCCTCAGAGTGGTTTTCATCAACAGATGGCAATCCTGTAAAACACATGAAAAGACATAGCAGCAACACAAAGAAACCTAATGTTATAGAAACGAATTCGAAAAACAAAGTCTACTGAACCAAGGTACAACCACACTCCAGGAGGCAAGCAAAAGTGCATAATCCGAAGGTTGCGATGCTTGTATGTATTGTATTTATGGATTCTCCACAGGCCCTAGCCTAAATCGAGGGAGTCTCTGTCATGCCACACTGGATACAACATGCTACCAGAATCACTTTCCCCAGTATTGATGATCTCTTCTTAGGGTGTTATATAAAACACATCTGTAGCCACTTCATCTTGCTCACGAAATCATACATCACCACACAAACGAGCCCTTCGGCTATTATACTTAGGGTGGTGATGTATGATATTGATAATCTATTGATACTAGGGCTGAAACAATAATATCGATTATCCGTCTAATCGATCATTACAAGGAAACGATTTCGATTATGCGATTCTAAAAAAAGAAACGTCTGCAAGAATCAAAAAGATGTCATGTACAGCACTACTAGATACTGTACTTTGTCCTTTTCCTCGTTTCTTTTTGTTGGCCATATGTTTTCCAAGAGGGCTGTGAAAAAAATAAAAAAATAAAAAACTGACTGTCTGCACCTGCACGTGATGTGCTACTGCATTGTGTAGAGTACCCGGTTTATCTGCATGTGTGTATGTACATGTATACGTGTATATGTCAACACGCCATGCTTTGTGCTGGTCTGGCGCGACAATTTCTAGGACACAGTAATTGATATCATAAACGATAATCGAATCGATGCAAGGGTAGGTTAACCGATAGTTGAAATTCAGAACAGTGTAATCGTTTAACCCGTAATTGATACCATATCCAAGTCTGACTCTCACCGTGAGATCCTGGCAACAATATTACCTGGTACATGACATATTCAGACACTGACATAAGCATCTTTTTGGAACAACACGTGTGCCTATCTGCTAGAGTAATGTGACACACATGCAGAATCAGTCATAGCTAATTTTACCCCTCACTGTTGTATGCGCAGACTCCACTTCTCGGTGTCAAGTACTCTTCTTTCGGTGGGCTACTCTGCTCAGGCGCTTATTTTAGAGGACTCACATTCATCCTACAAACCTACACGACTTGCATAGTTTTCACTGTCGGCCGAAGTGCATGCATTGCACACATTGCGATTCACTCCCTCCGTACAGGCCAGTACAGAGCTGCCCACCAATTGAGTCTGTTTTGCGTACTCAGACTTCTGATTTTCCGTATCTTGCAGTGTGTTGCGTACTGCCGTGTACATTGCATGCAACTTGCACTACAAAGTTTTTTGACACGCACATGCATGTCGGTGGCTGCATTTGGTAGTGTAAAACATGTGTGACTTGCACTCACGACATTATTTTTTGTGCTACATGTACATGTTGTCGTGGTACGGCATGCACTCGCTTTGGTACAAGACTATTCATCGCTCAGCTTACACTTGCAATGCTTCTACACAGCTGCTTGATCCTCTTCGATTTTCTATACCATTTGCTCAAATTCTGTAGTGCGGACAAGGAGTGATTTTCCGTACAAATACAGAAAAATATGGAGGGCTGGTACTTGGTAGCACTGCTAGTATGGTAGTGCCAGGCTAAGCTGGCTGGAAGATCAGATACTTTTTTGGTTCTTTCAGTCATTTTCACGACCTATATTTTCTTTATCATGATCCCTGGGGTGTGACGTTCTTACGAATGCAGAAACTCAGTCTTTCTAACCGAGTCTCACGTGCACTTTGAATTTGCTCTTCTTTTATTCACACTGCCATGTATCGATTCATCGCTTCTTCCCACCCGAGATCCTGTGCAACAGCGATTTAAAGATTGGCTTTATCAAATAGTGATCAGAGAGAGAGGGAGGATCAGTTGTGGCTGCTGTGACAGCTGCATAGAGTGTAGATTGGTGCAAACATCATTGCCCAGCAGAACCGTATTCATAGGGACCTGCGTTTAGCATTTGGAAGCTATTTTTTAGAATTTTTACAGGCCCAATAAGCCTGAAGAAAAGAACACCTAACTTAGACTGTCCTAACGTTATCGAACGCACTGCCAAAGTAAAAACAACATTTGAAATGCAAACTCGATTGTGCATGCATGGAGGCAAGGGTTATGTACTCTTGATGGAGGGCATGGGGAAGAGACGGAGAGGGTGAAAGTGAAGGAAATTTGGTCCGAAATCAAGAGAATCCTAGGAACCCTTGCTGCATTCTTCAGTACGATAACGTCAATGGGTGCATCTCAGATGTGCTGTGTGCCCAGACATACAAGTAGCACTAACCTGAGCATGAGAGCTGCTTGTCATCATCGTGGTCAGGAAAACGAAAGGACGAACGTAGAAGATTGCTGACCATGACGAACAACAGTACATATCCAGACGACAGACGGCTTGCCAGAATCAGTCTGGTGCATCTTCAGGAATCTTCTTTCCTAATCGCATTCAGCAGTCAGCTTCGAGGTCAAGAACGCGATGATTTTTCAGAAGGAATAATTTTCAAAATATTTTAAATTTTGGAGAAGAAGCTTCCTTTCTAAAAAAAAGCGTTCCTCTGTCCTTGCTTTCACGCAAGGTGCCTTGCCGGACATGTCGTCGACAGCACAGTGTCGGCAGATCCACGTTTGTAGGCTGCAGACCCGGCAGACGTTTTGATCAGCCCGGCCTGGTGGTGAGATTTCGGACCCGGGAGTACTAAAAACTGCTCGCATCCCAGGGTGCTCAGTTTCGCTCTATCCGATCGAGTAAGGCTTCCAGAAAGGCCCTCAGGTGCGCGGCCTGCGGTGCCATAATATACCTCCGGCAAGGCACCTCCTTGCGTGAAAGCAAGGAACGCTTTTTTTTTAGAAAGGAAGCTTCTTCTCCAAAATTTAAAATGTTTAATATCATCGCGTTCTTGACCTCGAAGCTGACTGCTGAATGCGATTAGGAAAGAAGATTCCTGAAGATACACCAGACTGATTCTGGCAAGCCGTCTGTCGTCTAGATATGCAGTTGTTCGTCATGCATGGTCAGCCGCGTGAATCTTCCTCGTTCGTCCTTTCGTTTTCCTGACCACGGTGATGACAAGCAGCTCTCATGCTCAGGTTAGTGCTGTACTTGTATGTCTGGGCACACAACACATCTGAGATTCACCCACTGACGTTATCGAGCTGAAGAATGCAGCAAGGGTTCCTCGGATTCTCTTGATTTCGGAACAAATTTCCTTCACTTTCACCCTCTCAGTCTCTTCCCCATGCCCTCCATGCATGCACAATCGAGTTTGCATTTCAAATGTTGTTTTTACTTTGGCAGTGCGTTCGATAACGTTAGGACAGTCTAAGTTAGGTGTTCTTCTCTTCAGGCTTATTGGACGTGTACAAATTCTAAAAAATAGCTTCCATATGCTAAACGCAGATCCCTGTGAATACGGTTCTGCTGGGCAATGATGTTTACACCAATCTACACTCTATGCTGTCACAGCATCCACAACTGATCCTCTCTCTCTGAATTAACTATTTGATAAAGCCAATCTTTAAATCGCTGTTGCATAGGATCTCGGGTGGGAAGAAGCGATGAATCGATACATGGCATTGTGAAGAAAAGAAGAACAAATTCACATTGCACGTGAGACTCGGTTAGAAAGACTGAGTTTCTGCATTCATAAGAATGTCACACCCCGGGGATCATGATAAAGAAAACATATGTCGTGAAAATGACTGAAAGAACCAAAGAAGTATTTGATCTTCCAGCCAGCTTAGCCTGGTACTACCATACTAGCAGTGCTACCAAGTACCAGCCCTCCATATTTTCTGTATTTGTACGGAAAATCACTCCTTGTGCGCACTACAGAAATTGAGCAAATGGTATAGAAAATCGGAGAGGATCAATCAGCTGTGTAGAAGCATTGCAAGTGTAAGCTGAGTGATGAATAGTCTTGTACCAAAGCGAGTGCATGCCGTACCACAACAACATGTACATGTAGCACAAAAATAATAATGTCGTGAGTGCAAGTCACACATGTTTTACACTACCAAATGCAGCCACCGACATGCATATGTGCGTGTCAAAAAACATTACAGTGCAAGTATGCATGCAATCAAGAGTACATAACCTCCCAGAGTGTGCAACGCCGATCCAGCTCTGCATAGGGTCTTGGTCGAGCGGAATCGGATCTTCTGATGTCATGCGTACACTCCACACCAGCGCAAGGCCGGTCTCGAGGCAGGGCACCATTGTTTTTGATCCAAGAGTACCCGCGACTCCCCGGGTTCCCCTCAGATGTGTACGGTATTATGACGCAAAGATCCGATTCCGCTCGACCAAAACCCTATGCAGAGCTGGATCAGGCGTTGCACACTCTGGGGGGTTATGTACTCTTGATGCAATGTACACGGCAGTACGCAAAACACTGCAAGATACGGAAAATCAGAAGTCTGAGTACGCAAAACAGACTCAATTGGTGGGCAGCTCTGTACTGGCCTGTACGGAGGGAGTGAATCTCAATGTGTGCAATGCACGCACTTTGACCGACAGTGAAAACTATGCAAGTCGTGTTGGTTTGCAGGATGAATGTGAGTCCTTTTAGACAAGCGCCTTAGTGGAGTAGCCCACCGAAAGAAGAGTACTTGACACCGCGAAGTGGAGTCTGCGCATACAACAGTGAGGGGGTAAAATTAGCTATGACTGATTCTGCATGTGTTCTGCATGTGTGTCACATTACACTAGCAGATAGGCACACCTGTTGTTCCAAAAAGATGCTTATGTCAGTGTCTGAATATGTCGTGTACCAGGTAATATTGTTGCCAGGATCTCACGGTGAGAGTCAGACTTGAATATGGTATCAATAGATTATCAATATCATACATCACCATGTACCACCCAAAGTATAATAGCCGAAGGACCCGTTTGTGTGGTGGTGTATGATTTCGTGAGCAAGATGAAGTGGCTACAGATGTGTCTTATATAACACCCTAAGAAAAGATCATCAATTCTGGGGAAAGTGATTCTGGTAGCATGTTGTATCCAGTGTGGCATGACAAAGACTCCCTCGATTTAGCCTGTGGAGAATCCGTAAATACATAAATACAATACATCCAGGCATCGCAACCTTCGGATTATATGCTCTTTTGCTTGCCTCCTGGAGTGTGGTTGTACCTTGGTTCACTGTATTAGAATAATAGTAGACTTTTTTTTTCGAATTCGTTTCTATAACATTAGGTTTCTTTCTGTTGCTGCTATGTCTTTTCATGTGTTTTACAGGATTGCCATCTGTTGATGAATACCACTCTGAGGCACTCTCACGAGCGAAGGTGTTTGAAAATCCATGTCGGAATGATGGTCATGTTGGCCTAAAGGTGCATTACATTGCCGATACTCGCCACCTCCACCCTGGAACATGTTCAATTTCTGTTTCTCGTATGGAAGGACCGAACAGGTTGTTTTCCTGTCTCAGTGGACCACTCAAGACTGAACAGCACTGATTGAAGAAGATTTGCCGTGAATCTCGTTCACATAATCAGCCTGTTTAATTGCTGTACTGAGGTGACTGCTTCATAACAATGACCATGCAGCATTAATTTTGGATAGTATTGCAGTGCCCCTAAAATTGGAGAATATCGAATTTCTCTGATAGCATTGTGATTCATTTGTGAATAAACATCACTACTCTTTTTGAGTAGCATAGCAATGACAGAGTTGGTTTAATGTATGACAAAATGGAGCCGCTTTTTAACTTAAACCTGTACTATAATCAGTACCGCCGGAAGCAGTTTTTGATTGGTCCGGTAGTTTCATGGCGGGTACACACGTCCTCCACGGTAGGAAACGTTTGTTGGTGGCCAACAAGTTGGTCTGGTGATAACCTGACCAACCAGACCGGCGGGCCTGATAATTGTGGGGCTCATGAGCAGCTCAAGTACTTAGTATGGTTTTGGACATGTCCCCAGTTAACCAATGAGAATAACCGGAAAACAAGGGCGGCTTTAGATACCGGGCTGACTTAACAAGAGGCAGGATAAGCGCGTTACGGGTTGAGCTTGTCGAAAACCAATTGTACTTCATTATGTGTGAAGGGTTTTATGAAGAAATATTTTATGAACCAGTGTACAGAGATGGTGCTTATGACGAAAGGAGAGAGGAGAAGTGTGTGAAAGTCGATAAAGGGCATCCGAAGGAACACATCGATCCTTGTTGTAAAGAATATTAAGTATAAATCTATGGTTGAAACCTACTTCCCCAAGCGTTCTCTGTTAAGTATAAATCTATGGTTGAACCCGACTTCCCCAAGCGTTCTCTGAGGGGACCGAGGTCTACTCTATCAGTTCATGTATTCTGTGAAGTGACATGACCATTCGTGGGGACCTTGCTCATAACTGCAAAAGTCCTCGTCTGATTTTTCCGCATCAATTGAACGTTATACATGTGCATGTAGTGAAAGCCACATGCAAAAGGCTGTTCCATGGCACTCATCTGCCACCAAGCTCTGGGTTCATTGGCTGAAAATATTCTTCGGCACAGTAAAGTCGTGCGCCCAAGAACGTGGAAGCCTACAGAACATCCAACCTGGAATACTAAGAACACCACAGCCCAAAATTAAGAATTGCGGTGTAGGTTTGTGCTGTTGTCAAACACCGGGATTGTTATGTTGCACATGTATCTGAGCTTTACCACTACATACACGTCTGTCTTTACACAATTACCAATCTGCAGACAGCATGCTGTTTCGTCCTTTAGTTACTAATGGACTCATCAATGCAGCACAGAGAAAATGAGGCAGGTGAATGTCCTAGGCTAGAGAGCATCAAATACAGGTATAGAATCATGCCTTGCAGATCTCGTTACGGCCCCTTCGATGCATGTCTGAACATTAGATGGCTGTGTAGCTTCAGTTATCTCAGAATATGTACTATTTATCCAGCAGCAACAACGTTGGTCACACAACTATTCACTATAATGAGTATGCGTTGGAACACTTTACCCCGAGTCATACTATAGCAGTGTGTGCCATGCATGGGTTTACCTCACACACTGAATTTCATAATTTGACATCCAAATCACAGAAGAGTGGTGTTCCAAACTTTACGTAATTGCACTCCATGTCCTGCGAGCTACAGTAGAATACTTCAATAGAAAATTTCTTATAGCACGTTCTTAGAATCAAATCGTATAGGTTCGAGGCTGTCAACCCAGAAATTTGTGATTTCACAGCCATAGATGTTACCAGTCAGGTCACTGTATACAGTAGGTATGCAGAAGAAAATACTAGTAACTCTTTGTGGAAGAGCTGTGCCAAAATGTGTACAGTACAGTAAATTAATAAAAAATGAGAAAAGCAGTGACAAGGCTGTGCATGATGTAGATCTACTCGTACCAGTAAGTACAGTGCACCAGTGAAATTGTTGGTGTAGTACCGGTATACTACTATAATTATGGCATGGCCCATGCCACTACAATCTATTTGCAGTGGGCCGCAGTAGGCCAGTGCAACAGAAAGCATTTCAGAAGCTGTGTGCAATGTTAACATCTATGACATACAAGTAAACTGCCATATAGCACAATCGATTACTCTCAGCCCACATAAGTACAATGTAGGCCAATCAGTAGTATAGATACATAGAGCACACTCTACATCATACATAGTCGGCACCAAATCTATGTTGTCGATGTACTTTGCAATGATGACATGATGGCAAGCGTGCTTGATTCATCATAATATTGCCTTGTACTTGGTTGGAAGTTAGTTGTAAGTTCAGTGGTCGAGGTAAGCAGAGCTGCTCCAGCTTTCAGAATCCTGCATGAAAAAGGCAGAAAGCAAATGTAGGTATAATAGTAGCAAGCTGATGTAAAGAGCCTGTCTTTCAATGCAATAATTCTATCCACTGCATGGACAGACCTGGTGCTTCATTCACCTCTGTTTCTTGCTTTCTCAGAAAACCTACTTCCTCCTTCAGCCATCTAGCTCATGATATACATTAATTTTTCTTTATGCCTTTTCAGCCGTGGTCGACTTTCGCCCCTCCTGTTTGATTGGCAATTGCAGTCAACCTGGGGAATACTGACCCTCGATTGTGAATGAGAAAAGTGTCGCTATTCGCATTGTTGTTACTCATGAGGTTGGAAGTATGCAATCAAATGTTCACTAGATCTGAAGATTGTGTCGTTATTTGCGAGTTGTTTTGTAAACCCGAGGTAGATTATTCACAAGGTTGATTGTACATGCTATGGGATGTACAATAACTAACCAAACAATAATGGTGTAACAATGATTTGAGTCCATATCCAATTGGATGAACCTAGAGTGCATGATCCATTCCAGAAAGGCGACTTCAGTGAGTCTTGAATTGTCAGCAGCATCATACTTCCATCGAGCTTTTTTTCTTTTTCGAAACGACCCTCTCTTTTCAATTCGAACGAAGGTCAACATACGATTATGGCAGGCATGCACGCACTGATCTTCACTGTATACATGTGCATGTATACTGTACTGTAGTCTGTGCAGTCAACTAGTCGTGTTCCACTTGGCTTACGGTAAGTATCACTACAAGTGCATAGTAGCCCCCCCCCCCCCACCCCGGGGAGTGCGCGTGAACGGCAACTGTGAACTGGTAAAAGAATTATTCGACACCTTCGTTCGTTTCGATGGAGAAGGTTCATCTGGCAAATTGAGGCCTTCGTTTCACTCCTAGCCCCAGGAGCGAAATTTTCACCCGCATGCCCGCATATACATGTAGACCTTATTCAATAAACGTCACAATCACGTGAACCAGGGTCCCGGGAACCAGGGAGCGGCAAGAGACCTGCACTCAGTGCACAGTGGACTCGGCGTGGGAACATAGGAGTAGAAAAATACCGGTATTTTACTACTCTCTTGTACGAACTGGGCCTTTCTTGCCACTCGTTTCACGTACGCGTGCCCCAGCTTACAACAAATCCCTGGAGGCGAGTCCAAAAATCACGTTATCGAATAAGGTCTATAGAAACACAGATCACGTAGAACTACCCCATCCGGGGTCACAACTCACAACGTTTTGGGTACTTAGGTCTCATGTCGTGTCCCCAGGTGCTATGAATCCCTGATGCACATGTATCTACATATACAATGTAACCGTAACTCTACCAATATTGCGGACGATGACCCTCCCCCCCCCCCCGGCAAACAGAAAGTCGCTATGTCCTGGCCGAGTTTATCTTTTAATTAAATGGTTTTTTCGGTTGGGATTTCATACCTGACAACCATCCCGATTTGGCCGGGACCGTCCCGATATCGAGGGCGGTAATAGGCACCCAAAAGTGCACTAGTTCCATGCCTCACCGCGAGCTTCTTTTGTATACATTTTCATGCCTAGGTATGTCATTGGATCTCAGGTTTGCAAAGGTTGGCAGGTATGGGATTTGTAGAGTGACCAGTTTTGACTATTGCCACCTGCTGTGCAGAAGTGTCATTCCTACATCCTGGCTGCAAACGTACCCCCCCCCCCCCCCACACACACACCACCACCAACAATGTTCGATCCTATTTACAGGACCTCACTCTATATGAAAGTGTAGCAGAGGCACTGCCAAAGTATAAAAAACAGCAATTGAAATGCAAGCTGCACTGTGCATGCATGGAGGGCATGGGGAAGAGACTGAGAGGGTGAAAGTGAAGGAAATTTGTTCCGAAATCAAGAGAATCCGAGGAACCCTTGCTGCATTCTTCAGTTCGATAACGTCAGTGGGTGAATCTCAGATGTGTTGTGTGCCCAGACATACAAGTACAGCACTAACCTGAGCATGAGAGCTGCTTGTCATCATCGTGGTCAGGAAAACGAAAGGACGAACGAGGAAGATTGCTGACCATGCATGACGAACAACTGCATATCTAGACGACAGACGGCTTGCCAGAATCAGTCTGGTGTATCTTCAGGAATCTTCTTTCCTAATCGCATTCAGCAGTCAGCTTCGAGGTCAAGAACGCGATGATATTTTCAGAAGGAATAATTTTCAAAAATTTTAAATTTTGGAGAAGAAGCTTCCTTTCTAAAAAAAAGCGTTCCTTGCTTTCACGCAAGGAGGTGCCTTGCCGGACATGTCGTCGACAGCACAGTGTCGGCAGATCCACGTTTGTAGGCTGCAGACCCGGCAGACGTTTTGATCATCCCGGCCTGGTGGTGAGATTTTGGACCCGGGAGTACTAAAAAGCTGCTCGCATCCCAGGGTGCTCAGTTTCGCTCTACCCGCGCGAGTAGGGGTCCAGGTAACGGGCTCTCTTTCGCGGCCTGCCGAGCATAATATACCTCGGCTCAGCCCAGTTAGATCAAGGCTGCTGTCGTTGTGAGGCGAGATAGTTCTGCAGCGGTTTAATATTCCGACCAGACTCATCACATAGGTTGCCAGCGGGCTCCCATGTAGCTTCGCTGCTGGGGTAACCCTTCCAATGCACCAGGAAGTGTTGCTCACCACTGCGGTATCGGTGATTCAAAACGGCTTCGACAACATAGCGTGTGTGTCCATCTAGATCTGTGAAGGGCGGAGGCGGGGGTTGGTGTCTTCCAGGAATCATGTTCTCTTCGTAGCGTTTAAGAGCAGTGACATTAAACACGGGATGGCAGCGAAGTTCACGGGGTAGTTCCAAGCGAAAAGCATTCGCTCCAATCTTAGCCTGGATACGATACGGACCAAACCACTTGGGTTGCAATTTCCGAGAGGGCTGGCCACGAGCTTCCGGGGTCAGTAGAAAGTCTCTGTAGACAAGAACGCTATCACCAACCTTCAAATCACTGGGCGTTCTCGTCTGGTCTGCGTATAGAGCTTGCCTTGCCTGGGCGTCGAGCATTGCATCTCGAGCTATCCTTAGTGCGGCTTCCTGCTCATGAAGCCAATCGACCGAATCACTCCTTTCCCCTCCCGTAAGAATGAATTCGGGCGGGGACTTAGGGTCAAACCCATAGTTCAGATAGAACGGTGTATTAGCTACAGATGACTGTTGTGAACTATGTATTGCAAACTCGCAGAGTGGTAGAAGCGAATCCCAATTGTCCTGTCTCAAGTTCACAAATGCTCTTAGAACATCTCCCACTTGCCGATTAACTCTCTCTGTCAAACCATCCGTTTGAGGGTGGTTAGCAGTGCTGAATGCCAATTTAGTTCCTAGCTGAGAGAATACTTCTTTGAAAAAAGCTGCAGTGAATCGTGGATCGCGATCGGAAACAATGGTCGAGCTCAGCCCGTGCAGACGAAACACGTTTTGAATGTACAGTTGAGCGCTGCCCTCAGCATCAATCTTCGAGTTTGTTGGAACAAGATGTACGCATTTCGTAAGTCGGTCCACAATGGTGTAAATTGCGTCGAAGCCACGAGAAGTAAGGGGCAATCCAACAATAAAATCCATTGAGATATCCTGCCAAGGACTATTAGGTATTGGAAGTGACTGGAGAAGCCCTGTTCGTGGCTGACCTCCCTTCGTTCGCTGGCAGAGATCACAGGTTTTGACAAATCTCTTTATATCGAGACCCATTCGGGGCCAGTAGAAAAAACGTGCTAGGCGGAAGTACGTTCGATCACGACCCGGGTGGCCAGCCGTTGCACACTCATGGTGTTCTTGAATGAGCTTTAACCGGACACCGCACTGTGGTATGCACAACCGGTTATTGGGGAATGCCTTGAGGTACAAGCGATCAGTGGATTCGTCCCAATAATAGCGATCATGCAAATTATCTCGGAGAGAATGCTTCAATCTTTCTATGATGGGATTTAGCTCTTTGTCTCTCTGGTAGGCATCTGATATTGTATTGGACACGTCATCATTCATTGCTAAAGCATACTCAATAGCAATCAAACGTGGTACTGCATTCTCCACGAGGTTACTCTCATGGAGATCTGGGCGACGCGAAAGGGGATCTGCAGGGTTCTCTCTGCCGGGTCTGTGACGGACTGTGTAGTCATAGTCAGCTAGGAATTCAACCCATCGCGCCTCTCTCTTTGTAATGCTTGGTTTTGTTTTCAGATAAACTACCGCCATGTTGTCTGTAATGACCTCAAAGTGTTGAAAGAGGTAGATGCGCCAGGTCTTTAGCGCAAACACTACGGCCAATGTTTCTCTTTCTGTAGCTGTATAATTCTGTTCAGCAGCAGACAATTTTCGGCTAGCATAAGCCACTGGATGCCAGGCATCTTCCTCTAGTTCTTGGAGAAGAACACATGCCAAGGCGAAATCGCTTGCATCTGTTACCACTCTGAATGGTCGGTTCACATCAGCCAGCCGCAATAGGGGCGCATTCAACAAGGCATGCTTTAGCGATTCAAAGGCATGTTGCCGAGAGCTGTTCCACTCGAATCGTGCATGTTTTCCCGTTATCTCCTCTAAGTTCTTAGAGAGCGATGAGTATTGATCTATGAATCGCCTAAAATAATTCGTAAATCCAAGAAATTGCCTCACCTCTGTGACGGAAGTCGGAGCGGGCCAGACCTTTACTGCGGCAATCTTGTCTGGGTCAGGGGCGATGTGCAGTCCATCGATGCAATGTCCCAGGAACCGCACACTCTCCACGCCAAATTCACATTTTGACCGTTTGCAAAATAACTGGTTGTCCCGGAGCACGCTCAATACCGACCAGACATGCTGCATATGCTCCGACCACGTTTTGCTGAAGATGAGTATGTCATCTAGGAACACGACTACGAACTCCCTCAGATATGGTTGAAGAATCGTATTCATCATGGATTGAAATGTTGCCGGTGCATTGGTGAGACCAAATCCCATGACCCTAAATTGGTAATGCCCAAAGGGAGTGTTAATCGTTTTGGGCACGTCCTCAGCTTGAATGGGAATCTGATTATACCCTGATCGGAGGTCTAGTTTCGTGAAGTACCTAGCGCCCTGTACGGTATCGAATAAATCATCCACATTGGGCAAGCACGCCTTGTTCTTAACAGTTATCATGTTTAGCTCCCTCCAATCGCAGACCATGCGTAACGAACCATCAGCTTTCTTGACAAAAAACACCGGTGCACCAAAGGGGGACTTACTTGGTTCTACGAAACCCTTTTTCAAGAGTTCTGTGAGCTGTTTCTTCAATTCCTCCATTTCTGGCCTGGGCAGGCGATAGGCAGGTCGCGATGGGGGTGATGAGCCTTCCTCCAGGCGGATTTCGTGGTCTACAGACCTCTCTGGTGGGAGTCTAGCTGGCAGATCATCCGGGAAAAGATCGTCATAGTCACGGAACATGGCCTTGAGATCTGGGTGCTCGTTCTGAGTGGATTTGTCGGGAGGTTCCTTGCCAATGCCGTCTTTTACGCTGACCCACGCCAGAACACCTTCGTCTCCACTCCTAAGAGCATGCCTAGTCTGACGACCAGATATGAACATCGCCTCCACAGGAGCGGTCGGTTCGCTTTGACTGGGCGACGCACAAGGCAAAACATTCGAGTTCAACCTGACTTCATTCGTCCGGAAGTTTATGTCTGGATTGTTACGCGTTAACCAAGGTTTCCCCAATATAGCGTCATAGCGATGAAGGGGGAACACCGTGAAGGTTTGGTTATCGCTGAAGTCGCCTACGATAACCTTCAATTCATGGGTCGTCTCCATGGGAAACGAGCTTGATGCTCCATCAGCCAGCGTGACATTCAGGTTTTCCGAGCCAATTTCGGTTGGCAGGTTAACTCTCCTGGCAAACTGTTCGGCAATGAAATCATGGGTCGAGCCCGAATCTATTAACATAAGCACGCGACGACCGTTGATTTTGCCTTCTACTCGCAGGAGCTCATGTTCTGTTTCCACATTGACGCTGGTAACCTGGGCCTCAATAGTTGGTGTAACATCTCGCTTGAAATTGGCTTCGGAGCATTCAGCATCATCGTCAACATCCTCCACAGCGAGGCTACTGAATCGGTTACGGGTAGAGACGGAGCACACACTACACGCAGGTGATGCCTTTTCTTGATGCGTCAGTAATCGCATCGGCCTTACTGACGTCCACCGTTTGGGTGATCTCGATGCTGCGGGCAATTCTGGGCCATATGGCCTGGTCGACGACATGCGAAGCAGCCCCCCTGGGCTCGTAATGTCTCACGTTCCTCGGGGCTTAGTTTTGTTAGCTTTCTGCTACCTGATGGTGGTGCGAATCCCGGCGCGGTCGCCAGTGGTGGTCTGCGCTGAAATCGGCTGTCTGAGGCGACTGCTAGCGCTGCCTGAACGGCGGCTGACAGTGTAGTGGGGTGTTCCTTCACTACCAAGGTCCGCATGTTACCGTGCAGGCCGTTGACAAATAGCAAGGCTCTGGAGAGTTCGTCAAGTTCCGGCACCTGTAAACTAAGCCGAGAAAACTCCGTTACGTACGATTCAATTGACCCGCGCTGTTGGATAGAGAACATATCCAACCGCACTCTTTCCCCGTCATAGTGCGGGCCATATACTCGCGCTAGGGCGCTTTTCAAAGAATGCCAATCCGAAAATTGCTCACGTGCTTCCATGGAAAAAATTAGCCAAAGACGCGCATTCCCAGCGAGGTAGCTAGCCGCAAAGTTAACTTGGCTCTCCGGGTCACCTTGAGGTGAGCACTTCAAGGCTAACTCGACCGTAAATACCCACTCTTTAAACTCGGAAGGGTTGCCATGGAAAACATTCGGTTCTCTGGTAACGCGTTTGACGCTCGGGCTTGTCTGGGAGAGAGAACGCGATCGACACGGGGCTAGATCCGGAGGACTTGAGCTTGATGTAGCAGGTAATTGATGTCGTCCAACTGTAGCAGCCACGTTGTCCCGAGCGCGGCGGATCTCACGGAAAGCGGCGTATAGCAGAGCAGTAGCAGCCAGGAGCACAAGGCACGTCAAAGGGCAACCGATGATCTCAACCATCCTCAAGCTACCAGTGTAACAGTATAGACTTGATTGATTGGAGAATTCCCCGAATGATGTTCAAACCAGAGGTTATAAAGCAAAAGAAAGGCGAGAACCGCAGGAGTGAGAATAGTAGGAACACAAGGTGTTACCATAAGACAAGCAAGAAGTGTCAAGGTAAAACTATTACACCTGCCGTGCCTCAGTCCCCTGCTGTGCTAGTGGCGGCATGCTCTGGTACATGGTATACGGTACCTGGAAACAGCCTGTCCAAAAATGGCAACATGAAAAGTGTCGACATATCGTGGTCATTTTTCAACTCAACTTCTTGTTGTCGTGAGTGGAGAAGACATTATTTTTTACGATAGTTGTGAATAAGCGAAAGAGCTTGCACCTATCTATCTGCTAAGAAACAAGCTGAAATAAGTGGCAAACATCGCGA